TCATTTATGTATACATTTGTCTATATCTATCTCGATTCGTTTTGGCTGTTACAAACAACCGTTATGTGAACAAAATTAATATACCCTTGTGCACAAGTGCGCTCGGGTATATAAATGTGCCATAAGTTTAAGATAATAATGATAAAAAATATTTCAAAATCTCAAATACATATTTAAGATCTATTTTCAGAGATAGTATTCGAAATTTCTAGCTTTAGCTTAAGCCAGAAAGGTCCTATCACCTTTTCGAGGGCTTATATTCAATACCCTCTATCTCCCTCTATACCCTCCATTAAATGTTCGTAGAAATGGTATAGAATTCTTGAGAACCAATATTTTTCAACCGGAAGACCCTGTTCCTCTTCAAGAGATACGCAGTTATTTTTTTAACCATTTTTTCATAGTAACTATAGAAAATGCCAGAAAAAGCAATGGGGGGATATATAAAAAATCTTTAGCATTGAAAAATGGTTAAATAAAATTATAGTTTAAAAAACTAAAACCTCGGTATTATAATTTCCATTCGTACTGTCACCAGGTATGTAACTTGGGACTAGAAATCACTGTATCTTTTAGACGCATCAATATTACATAGTTACATCCCGAGCTAATAAAAGGGAGGTAATAATTAACAATTGGATATTGTTATTGGAAGTATTCTGAAGAGAACCACAGTTTTCCGGTCGAAAAATATTGATTTTCAAGAATTCCATAAAATTTTCACGAAAAGTGGCATTTTACCCATATAATATATATGGAAAATTTGAAGCGACCTCTAAATGTTTTTTATTTCAAAATAAAAATATAGAGGTATACTTTTTTCGATATAGAGCAATCCTAGTGGGTGAGAGCATAAAAATTCCGACTTTACTTATTTTGGACCACCCTATTGTGCTAGGCTAGCAATGTTGACTCATTATTGAAGGAATTTGTATCTATACCTCAGTGAATTGCATGTGACTTTTCTTTGAGTTATGCTAAATTAAATCCACAATTACAAATGCAATATGCTGAATACTCAAAATAAAACAATGATATTTTTGGTTGTTACGAATGACTTTACATAAAACCCCCCAAAGAGAAATCCTGCGCTCGGCCCTGCTCTCGTGTATACTTGTAGACCAAGCTAATAACTGCTTCAATCGGCTGCTCCAGAGCTTACTCGCCGGGCGCTATTGGAATCTGCTTTATGATTCTATTCCCACTAAATTTAAATCAAAATAAATTTTAAATACAATTCAGCTGCACGTTAGCGTATTATTCGTGGACGATTCCATGGGTGAGTTGATAATCGCGCCACACATAAATGACTCACAAATTTTGAAGCATGTAATTGCGTTTCAATTAAGTACGAAGTTCTTTTTTAAATTGCAATTCTAATTAGAGATATTACAAATCTTTTTGAAGTGTGCTTGTGGCGTGAAATTTAAAAAAAAAACACTTAAAAAAATTTCAATGCACAAATTGAATTGGTTAACCCAAACTTTATTGCTGATTGGCGCTGGTAACAATATTGCCGGTAGTCTGCTATGGCATTTAGTGTTGCGGCCTCAAATGGGGCGCGATGGTTTGCAGATTTGCGGTTACAAAAAAGTGATTAAAATCAAATAAATGAATTTAGATTTGAAATTTAAATGTTTAGTTGAATTTTGCTTATGAAAAATACCATTAAATGAAGCAAAGTGGCAAATGCATGAAATGCAAATAGCATTTTTGTGGCGAATATTTTTCAAATTTGCTACACTTCTTTAAGCATGCATGTATGTATATGTATGTATGCTTGTGTAAAACTCGTCCACCCCCCACACACAGCAATAACTCACACTCCCACTCACCTTCGGTGCACTCGCAGTGCGAATCCAGGTACGTCAACACCGGCGCTGTGGCATGACGTGCGCCCAATAGACGCGCTCGTATCAGACCTTCACGTTTGGGGGCGCGCAAAATCTGCACCTTTGGATAGGCGCCAAAATAATCGTCCAGCTGTTGTTTGGTATGTGCTGCAATGGATATGATGAAACATTAAGAGAGCGGCAAAAATGTAAAACGGAAAAGAAAAATAACATAAATGGAAGAAAAACTTATAATTATGTTGGAAATTGCTTGGTAGCCACCGCGCATACAAACGCTGCATTAAAATGCAAAGCATACACGCGCATGCGCGGCAGCATACCAATGCGAACAGAAATGCATGCATTTGCCAATTGTTCGCACGCAACTTACGCATATCGGAGAAGTCGTCGACCAGTATGACTTTGTTAATTAACTCTGGCGGCGAACGATCCAACACCGAGTGCACTGTTCGCAACAGCACCGACCACGCCTCATTGTGGAAGCAAATGATGACATCGGTGGCGGGAAGATTTTTTAGATAGCGGCCGGGTTCCTTGCACCTGTGCAATGATAAAAATAGATTATGTAGATATTAAGTATATGTATTAAATAAATCGTTGTTGTTTATTTTTATTTATTTAAGTTTTTTTTTAGTATGTGGTGTGGTTGAAGAAGCAGGAATTTGGCAGCTGGCAGGGGCAGGATCGCGTGCACGAACAAGTGTTCGAAGGCACGTGACAGTGATGCGAATTAGTTTTGAGGCACTGAACAAATTTTTGTATCTTTGTGATTGACTTCAACTTGATGGCAATGGTAATGGTAATTCTAATTGTAATAGTAATGTTATTGACAATGAAAATGGCAATGCTTAGGGTAGTGGTAATTGTAATAGTAATGGTAATTGTAATGGTAATGGTAATGTTAGTTGGAATATAAATAATACTGGCAAAGAAAATGAAAATACTAATGTAGTGTTAATGGTAGTGGTAGTAGTGCTGGTGGCGGAAATGGTGACGGTAGGAGTAATGGTAATAGCGAGGATAATGGCATTGGTAATGGTCCTCAAGTAGTTGTAGGTAATTGTAACGGAAACGGTAACAATAATGGTAAGGTATTTTTTTGTTAGTAATGGTACTTGCAATCGTAATGATAATGGTATTGGTAATAATTGGTATTGTTAAGGGTAATGATAACCGCCACGGTAATAATATGAATAATGATTACATAATGGTCGGTAATGGTATGTTATTGTAATGCGAATTGAAAAATAAAATTTTTTTCGTTTTCACTTACCACGCATCGCGGGTATCTGGCAATGTTCGATGCACCGATATCATATCGGATACATATTGATTGAAGGCATTTTTCGCCCAACCATCATCGACAGCTTTCTTCATTTCTTCTGTCATATTGGTGGGTAATACTACCGGTTTACCCATTTCGCCGGGTGCATCTTTGGGTGGCGATGGTGCCATGAGTACGCCTTTGTCTGAAAATAGAAGAAGGAAAGAAAAAATATTGTCAAAATGTTAAGGTAATTTCAAATTTATTAGAGAAGGTAAAAGATTATTAAAAACAAATATATACAGTACTTATTTTTTTACTTATTGAGCAAGAGTAGACTTTATAGGGATCTTAAGAGTCACTTGGTTGTGCGCATTATTGACAACCACCTAACAATATTTTTATCGGTCCATTTATCGAAATATTTAGAGTCATTTATCGATATGCATGGATGATTAACGATAAATCTAATGTATTGATTGAATGTTTCCGAAATCTTAATCAACATTATTATCGATATATTTGGCGACATATTCGACGATATCAATATGTTTATCGATTAATACATATGTGCGTATTTAATTCATTACTCGCATATATTTTCAGCCATATTTTATTGATTTATTTAAAAATATTAATCGATATCTTCATTTACTTTCTCATTAAAAAAGTAAATAGTTTCGATGTTGTATAAAGAATTTAATTGATAAATGGTTTTATTGATGGTTTTAAGAAAACATCATCGACAATCGTTATATTTCGGATAAAAAAGATAGCTATTGACATTTTGCAATATACCTATTTATCAATATGGTTGTAAAAAATGCTTTCGTTATACATATTAAACGATTTCAAACAGCATATTTATCGAAGATTTATTTTATTATTTCATTGATAATTTAGCCGATCCTTTTGTCTGTATTTTGAAAAATTAGTGCGTCTATCGATAAGCATGCATACGTAAATATATTTTTTAAGAAATATTTGTTTGTACAAATATAAATATGTATATATATAGTCCGCATTATGTGTGTACCGCCACTCTTATCGGTACATTTCAACAATAATTCATAAATATATTTATATTTATCGATATACTATCGGCATCAAAATCGATATACACTCGCTTCTAAAGATTTTACGTTACATAATTAAAAAGCAGTGCTACCGATATTTTCAATCGATATACTTGTTTATTGCTAATATTAATAAAATATTTATCGATATTGCTGTTGTAATTTATATTCCTAAATTCACCCTTATGCATATTTACAAATAACTTTTCTCATTACAAATCGATATATTTATCGAAATATTAACCGATAGCAGTGTTATATACATTAGCCGATTCTAAAACGAACCTCATTCCCATTCGTGTCCACACCAGTATTCAATGGGAACACGAATAAACTGCAAAATATTTTTACAGTTTATGTGGTCGCTTCCATTTTATGTTTACATTAAATAACTAACGAACATTTGCTGCTAAAAGCCACATACATACATATGCATCAAATGTATTTAATGTACCTGCAATATATTTCGAAACGAAGACTTTTCTTTTACACAAAGTGACACTCAACACCAAACCATTACTTAAGTACACAAATCACCCTGGAAGAATTCTTACAAAGAACATCATACTGCTAGTGTAAAAAAGCGCCAGCTAAGCTACACCAAAGCAATTCTAGCACAGAGAACTTGCTTAACCGCAGCGCAGCGGAACGATTGATTGTATTGCAACAGCAAATGGAAATGCAGTTCATGACACCAAGCAGTGCAGTAAAGAGCAAATAACCCCAACCAAATAGAAATTCAAACAAAACCTCACAGCCACAGACACAGCCATCCAGTGAGCGTTAGCAAATCCCTCATAGCAATATTTATACTTAAACGAAATACAGCGAGAAACTAGAAAACTCGCAGGATCAAAGCGAAGGAAGGATGCGCAAACATTGTTGCATGCGACGCTGTATGTGGGAGGCGGTAGAAAAACAAGATTCATGTATGCGACACACTTTTTCTACAAAAGCATCAGCTTACGTATGCATGTGTGTGTGTGTGTGTGTGAGCGTTTTGTGATGCTGCAAGGATGCAAATACTGCTAATGGCGTGCCGTGAACAGCAATGAGCAGCTCAAATATCAATACAATTTCAATCCATTTAGAAGAACAACGGCAAAACACAAATGGTAACATGCAAACACACTCGCGCAGCTACATATATTTATACATATATACATTAGAGTGGTCTAATTTTTTTAAGGGGGGAAAAATTTCATCCTAGAAAAGGGGCACTCCCTCAGTTTTTTCCTTTTGATATTTGTAATATCTATACCAACTTTCAATTTTTTAAACTGCTGCGAAACTGGCAAAAATATTGGTGATTTTTATAAAATGCTACTGTTGCCATGACAACATAATTTGAAAATCTAATTGCCTTGCAGAAAAAAACATATTGGAAGAAATGCTTGTGCCATAAAAAAAGAAATAAAAGAAACTCATTTTTTAATAAATTAAAAATTCTAAAAAAAGGTAATTAAAAAAAATAAATAAATTAATTAATTAATAAAAAAAAATTCCAGCACCAGGACTTGAACCTGGGACGTCAGGCATTCCACGCGAGTGCTTTGATGTGTCCGCTATTGCCAATGTTGGAGCGCTGCGAGCAAAAAGTCATAGTTATGCTTTTCACGGGGGATGAATTGGCAGACCATCTCATCAACTGTCATGATGCTACTATATTTCTACTAGTAGATGCTGATGCATAGCCAGACAATGGACATCACGTAGGACATCCAAATGTTAAAAATAGCAGTCGCTAACATTGGAAAAGGATAGAACGTGAACTAAGCAAACTTGTAGAATTCTAGTTCGCAACTAGTAGATTTTCCTGCAGGGTTTCCACTGACATATACACATATGTACATATCTACATCCTCCGACTAGACACATGATAGTTGAACATGTCTGCCAATGGCAGCGTATTTGAAAGGATATTTCAAAAACTTTTCGCAACGCATACAAGCGTAGCAGCCAAGTATGTGGGGAAAAAGTGAATTGAACGTCTGTGGGGTAAAAATAGAGTGAAAGTTGTGTTAGAAAGATGTATGTGCACAGATAAAGAAAATAGAAAATTTTTAAAATAACCTTTTAAAGCTTGAGAGAACTAAAAATCCAGATTTCTTCAGTGATAGCACGGAGTTAGGAAGGACGATGTTTGTGAGTGGGATGCTGTTGCGGAGAGTGCCGTTATTTATAAATACGAAATAGCGTTTGAAATGACTTTGCCGCCGTATGGGTTAAGGTCCAATGACACTCTTCACGGAAGGCGGAATTTTACTCATCGAATTGGAGAACGAATATTCTCATCTCATCAAGGCTTCAGCTGCACATAAAGAAACAAATTTTTCATTAGTTTCACACCTTTATCATCTCAAATGTGAGTCGCAACTGTATTATCTCAAGATCCTTCCAGCCAAGACAAAATAAGAGCCGTGCTGAAGAATTATTGACTCTAAACAAATCTGCAGTAAGTGCTCTTACCGGCGTGATTACAGAGCACTGTGTTATGGCATCAATGCTCCATCGATGGTGTATACCAACAAGCTTCCTCTGAAGAATTTGTGGGGACGAGGAAGAAAAGCAATCGATAAACAACTTCCTACATATGTCAATGCCTAGCACTCCAGACTCCAGACAATGCGTCTCATGCATTTAGGAACACGATTTTTCTATAGTTTGTGGGAGATAGTGGAAGTGAAAATAGTTGCGTTCGATAACAAAATTAGCCAACACCAGCCAACAATCAAAATTAAGAGAGTAAGCGAAAATTCTCACCCAAAGAGATGAAAAAGCAAAAAAGTAAACGAACAGGAAATTAGCCATTACTTGCAAAAACCGGAAGAAGAAGACACACCAGCTGACTTTGTTTATGTTTTATTTGTAAACAAACTGAAATTCATGTTGCCTCCATAGAAGAAAAAAGGAAAGTGAACGTTCAAGGTTCGCCAGGAACATTTCGAGAAGTAAAAACTAGTTGGCGCTATCATAAAGTCACATAGCAGGCAGCCAAAAAGCATATACATAAATACCAAAACTCGGAAAATGTAATTTTGTTTGTTTACAAAAATTGCAACCATATGTTTTGTGATCATATGTTTTCGTGTTGGATAATTTTTGCTGACTAAAATTTTGCCAGTACAAAATGAACGCTTCTCTTGCATCAAAATGAACGCTTGCTCTCTCAATTTTTGTGTGTTGGATAATTTTTTGTCGTTATCGAACGCCATCCAGTAAAAATTTGGAAAAATATTACAAATTTTTAACTTGTCGAACGCACCTAATATCAGAGCTTCCCTGCTTCAACCGGAAAAAATTACTTGTTTTTAAATTTAATTTTCAGATTTTATTTGTTCCAAAAAAATATTTTTTAATTTATTTTACTTTTTTAAAATGGTTGCGTTTATTTTTGCTGCACATATTTTAATTTTTTGAATTTAATTTTCTTTTAATATTTAATTTTTATTGCTTTAAAAAGGAAAATATATATTTGTTCTTAATTCCAATATTTCAAGATAGTTGCCAGGATTGAAAATTGTCTTACGAAAGACTTTTGTCTTTCCTAAGATTGTGGTGAGTTGCAAGACAGTTGCCAAAATTGCCCTGTCAGTGTATATACTCAGAAAATTTTCACATTCGTCTATGCAGAAATCAGCCCCGGTATATAAACCGCTTCACTGCTGCCTTAGTTTCTAATAGAATTTCGCCAAATGGCACGTTTTCTCATACCAGCAGTTGCTGCGGAGTTTATAGAATGTCAGTTGTCAGTGCCACCTTTTGACGTCTCTTCAGTCCACAGCTTATCTTATCTTAGCTGCAAGAAAGTGTTAATCCAAGTCCGGAACGCAAGTCAAGAACAGTCGAAACGTACACTACCTGTACCACATTGAGATTTTTTCCAGTTGATGCGATTTACCAAGGGTAGCCAAATTGTCTTTTGAACGTTTCGGCGCACAGTTTTTTTATCAAACTTATACAGCTTTCTAAAGTAATTTGATTTCTCACCCACGCATGCAGAAAGTTCTTGTATACATAAATCTGGTGCAGAATTTTTGATAAGATTTCAGCTAAGCTTACATTTTTCCATCCAATTCTTTCTTAATACGATTTTCATGAATGCCTTACAATTTGTCAATGTCAAGCC